TAGCTATGTTAGTGTTTAAGAACATACCAGTGCTGGAAAAGCATTACATATGCAGTGGTGCTATGTGATTAACCTTGTGACATCCAACGAGCCAATCAGATTTTCTTTTAGCCACATATGAAATGGACAAAGATGTTACACGTCCACATTAGAATGTTTCTGTGACAACCCTGCAAACAGGTCAACGATCTATAAAACATGTAGGCTGTTAACCTAACTGATGATCCGCTTTAACCTGTTACATATTTAATCTAAACACTAAGGTCATAGTCAGTGATGACCTCGACCTCATAGGGTTCAGTCACTTAGGCATAAAACCACAGCACAGCTGGACCTACAGCCCTGTCCGCTTGGTAAAACACCCATTCATCCAGCTCAACCTGCTGAATCAGTAGACTTCATTGCTCTTTATTCTGTCTCTGCTGGTTTCCTGCGATCTCTCTGACAGAAACTCTGGCAGGATGCCTGGAAGGCAAACTTCTTCCACTAGCCTAAAACAGAGACAGTGTTCCCTAAGCCAAGAAATGCCTCCAGTGTATACTTGTTTCAAAACTAAACTTGATATTGCTGCTTGTTTCTTTATGGGTCACATACACAAGTTAATTAGTGACCTTTGGATCCTGGCTAGCTTTTTGCTCAGCTTCCAGTCTGAAAGCTATTTAACTCCAAACTCATTAAGGAAGCATATAGGCATATTTCCCAACCGTTGACCTATCCATCAATATTCCTGAATAGGCCTTTTTCCCTTCGACTGACCATATTAGTTGTTGGCTAGCTGGTTTCAATTCAACTCAATTAAAATGTCAACAAGCGTCATCTCAAGGTGCTTTATGTCGACAGGTAAAGACCCTACAATAATACAGCTGTACTGTTGTATCAGCTTTAAATCAGCAACAAACTGAAGGCAGGTAGGTGGAGAAAGCGGATAAAAAATACTGACCCCCACGCCATCCTCATGTCTGTACTGTTTCCAAGCCCGGCCTGTGTCACTGTAGAGCAGCAGGTAACTGCTGACCCAGTCCCAGCTGTCATAGCGTCCCTGTGTGGCTACAGCAGTCACCTCCATCTGCTCCCTGAGGTCCACCTGGAGCCAGGGCTCTTGGTCAGTCACCATTGGAGACCAACCTCCTGCACCTGAAGAAGAGCAGAAAATACAGGCAGAGGGTCTGACACATGCAGTCTGTCAACAAGTCTTGATGTGTACGTGCGAGGACTTTATGTGAAAGGCTTCAAGGCTAAGTTCCACTCCAGCAGCCACAGTGAAAGCTGTTTCTGTGGAAAACAACTGATTCATTTTATGCGCTGTATATGCAGTATGTTCAAAGTTCCAATGAAGAGCCCGATGCTTTTTATTCACTGGCAGCTTTATTTTACCTGAAAGGCTTAAGTTCAGTGGAACGGAAAAGTGGCAAGACTGAGGGGCGAGTTAGAGATAGAACAGCTTTCTGCATCGCATTCAGAATTAAACCGAAATGTAGCCACAACTCTTCCTTTTCCTGTGATGATGGAACAATGAGGGGTGCCTGCCTCGCGCCCACAGATCACCATCGCTGCACTCGAGTGTGGTTATGGCAGCGGGGTGGTTGATCTGCCCCACAGAGCTCAGATGTGAAACATGTTAGCGTTGTGTTGTTGTGAGTTTCTGTTTGGATTTTTCATATTTTTGTGTTTGTTTCTTTTTCATTTGGTTCCTGTTTTCATGTCTTTCCATCCTATCATTGTTTAGCCTCAGTTGTTATTATATGGTTGTGTTTCTGGCTCCTGTTTAGCTTTTATGAACGTTTCAGTTCTTTCTAGTTTTCTAGTCTTTGCAGTTCTGGTGTTGGTTCTCAGTCAGCTTCAGTCCCTGTTT